CAACCCCTGGCATTCTGTGATTCTGTGATTTGTTGAGCCTCACTTTACAGCACTCATCCAAGTTTACAATCAGAATAGGGGCAGCATACAAATGCAAGGATTTCAACAGGTTAAGAATCAACTCTGAGTCCAGTAGTATGAATCCATTAAGAAGACCAAAGTGTTCAAAAAATCAATTTTTTTGACTAAGGTATTCTTGTCTTCTAGGGTCTAGAATTCCCCATAGCCAATTAACTTTACATTTGGTTGTGCAGTTAAACTTACAAGTTAACAAATTTATAAACATTAATGGAGCAATATAAAGAAACCAGTATCTTCTCTGTCTAGAGCCACCTCTCAGGGGACAGTTAATGATTTTTCCCTGGATAAAACAGATTGGAAATATCTGCATTATACACAAATATATGTAAGGGGTGGGAGTCAGCTCTCAGTTGAGATGCCTGAAGCTGAATGCAGCGTAGCAGATGAGCCACAGGTCTATGCAGAGATGCCTTCTGCGTCAGGACAGCCTGCCTGTCCTCCACTTGCGTTGGAAAGAGGTGAGACCTTCTCATGTCATATCTGTGTAAATCTCTCTCATTCTCTAGGGTATCTTAGATGGTACTAGATGGCTATGTCCAGGTACCTGAATCACTCCTTCAGTGCTCACATATAAGCCAAATAACTGAGCTTCTAGTAAAGTCACTGACCAAATGCAAGTGTCTGCCATAAGCTAAGAAAAACAATTCTCTGAACAACGCTGACTACATCAGCCGGTGGACCAACTTGGAGACTGACATGTAGTGGATGCTAAGGAGTGCTTTGACTGCCTAGAAGTCAATATTAGGCACACCAAGATATAATGTTTATGAATAAGGATAAAGGGGAAGGGCAATGAGGCTGATATGATGCACTCATACTATCCTCTTTTGTCCATGTTCTCTGTTACCTAGTAATATAGTTGAGCTCACACTCCAGAATTTTCTTCAGATTGCAGTCAACCATCTCTTTTAGGAACCTTGCAGAAATTTAGTATCTCAGATATTCCTTCCTGTTAACATCCAGCTGAAACCGCCCAGCAAATTCAAAAGATGCAGTGAGGTAACTGACAGAGTCCATTAATGTGATTTCTTTTCTTAGGAGACTACCAGTTTAGCCTGTCAATTTACCAACTGTTTTCTGAATAGAGGATATGCATGTCACATATTGTACTGACAGAAGTGCTTTAATTGTCCTTTATGACAGTGCCAGAATGCATGTCTTCCACATCTTCACCCCAGACTGTCAGGAGACAAAATTATTTCCCCTTTCAATTCAATTATTAAACATTCCTGAGAGTTGGTAATAAAACATTATCTAAGTTTTCAGGCTTGTTACAATGTGTGAGGCCTTCTGGCATAAAAAAAGGAAACCTGTAATATCCACCCTAAAAACCTTACATTTCATATGTACTGAATATTTGCAAATTAGTCTGTCACCATTTCATTTGCTACCAACTAGCTTTATGACATCAGTTATAAGTAGAGGGGGCTGGTTAGCTCAGTCAGTTGAGTGTGGCGTTAACAGCGCTAAGGTCATGGGTTCGATTCCCATTCGATCCCCATGTGTTGCCTGATCTAGTCGAGAGGTGGCGTCCCTGGCGGCAGGGAGGCTGGATTAAAATGATCTCTAAGGTTCTTTCCAGCTTAGGCCATTCTATGATTAAAAAACAAGCTGAATGGCAAGATGGAATTTCCCTGCTCATTTAAACCTCTGCGCATTAAGACTTTTTTACTACCATGAGTAAAAATATACTTATGTAACCTGAAAGAGCTGACTACAACACTTTGCATCCTCTGCAGATTATGGAGTTTCTATGTCCCTGCCATACTCTTTTGTATTCCTTTCTCATAATATTTTGAACATATATAAATCATTTTTTCTTTCAATGTTTTTCAGATTTGCTTGATTCTCACTTTGTTGTTTGGGAGTATAACCCTTTTAATTTTCTCAGTAAGGAAATATGCTTCCCAGCTGTGAAGATATCTCAAATTATTTTGCAATGCTAAATAATTGCAATCAGCTGTAAAGACATTTAGCTAATTCTCACCCTTCCCTCTGAGATGCTTGTGTATCCTTAACAGTTTGTTGATACCTAGAGAGGCCACCAATCTGTTACTGTTCTTTCTGCAAAAGCTCCTTTTCAAAAACCATCTTTCAGGTTTCTTAGCTAGTGAGATGCTTTTTCTTGTTTCTAAATAAGCTCAGGGAAAAACAAAGGATCAAGGTCAGATTTTAAGAAGTCTTGTTTTTTTAATGTTTCTCTCAAGACCTCAACGGCAAAGCAAGACGGTTTTCTTCTGTCTCTCCAGATAACTATTGGAGCCTTTTTGGGAGAAGGCAAAAAACAGGAAAAGCAAGAACTTTTCTGCATTTTTCTACTCAAACCAGTGCCAGGAGTTCTCAGGAAGTCGAATGTCAAACATAAATGTCACTAAAATAATTTTACCTTTATGAGCAGTTCTGTGTTTGAGAAAAGTATCTATGCTTCCACTTAAAAACATTCAATTTGTAAGGAAGCCACTAGGTTTATTTTCTTTAGGAAGTTTCAACATTGGCTTCGCTCATCTTGAAGACTTTGGAAGAGATGTATATGAGCTTTTTTATGATGTGACAGAAATAATCCAAGTTTTCCTTTAATAATTTCCATAATATGAATCTTTTTTCTTTCTTAGCTCTCGTATTTTTCCAAACCATTTTAATTTTTTTCACTGTTCCTGAGTGAAAACAACCTTGTTTTCTTGTCATTTTTCATTTTGAGCACTCAGGCAATGCCCAGAATTCTTACTTGAAAACTTCTCTACCTAGTTTCAGAAAGATATGTGGTCAGAGAGTGAGTAGCAGTTTCAGATCTGGAAGCAAATTCTAAATACCCTGGCAGTCTTTTATTGAGTGTCTACTTTTAAGTCATTTCTCACCTTTGCTCATGTTGTTGACATTGACTGAAGGAATGACATCCAGTAATAATGAGCATAGGAAAACACTAATTGAAAGTGACCACTTCTATGTACAGGTTATATTTTGCAATAGCTCTCAGAGATAGAGAGCAAGGAGAAAAAAGAAAAAAAAAAAGAGAAAGACAGCGCTGAAGCCTTTTGTCATCAATCACACCCAATAAATGCATGTCCTAAATCTATCAAATCAAAAAACTTTTCCTCTGATTGTACCTGAAAACTGTGATCAATTTTTTTTGTTGTTTCCTTTCCGTTCTCTATTCTCCTTTTTCTAAGAAAAGAAATTTATGCTTCTTCACACCAGGGAGATCCTGAAGGAAATAATCAAATGTTCTGCTTGTAAGCATCTAGAGGAAAATGTAGACATGAATAGGAGCTTTCCAGAATTTGTCAAGAACAAATCTTGTCATAGCAATATCATTTACATTCATCACCAAATAGCAAGCTCTGTATGTTGGAGAAGAGCAGTACATACCATATAGCTTTAGTTTTGTAAGATTTCATTATCCGTCACTCAAAATACAGTCTAAGGAAACCACTCTGAATAGTTACCAACAGTACTTGGTGAAAGAAGATGAATGAATCAGAGGGATGAAATGAGCAACTCTTCAGGGCTCTGTCTCAATCAGTATATTCATTTCATTTAAGATGAAATAGAAGATGTGTTAAATCTGTAGACAACATAAAGCTCTGGGGGTCACAAGGCTGTTGCAGGACAAACTTAAAATTCAAGATGGTTTGGTAAACAAGTGAAATTATTTCTGTAAAAAAATAAAACAGTCTAGTAAGAAAAAGTAAGTAGAGCAAAAATAAGTGTCTATTGGAGTTGAAAATGATCAGCATAACAGTTCTGTGGGGGGAATAAAACAAGACTGACAGAAAATGACCGGACAGTATCATATTACTGTGCAAAAGTCAGTATCACATTTGGTCACATCAGTATGAACACAAATACCTAATAAGATATATGTGAATTTGTTTTCTTATTCTCAGAAGTGGTAAGGAATGTGCAGAAAGAAATCAGAAGGTTTAGAAAATTAGAAAATATTCCCCATAAGGAAGGTCTGAAGAAATGAGTCTTTAAAAGAGAAAACTGAAATTATAGTAAAGAAATAATGTATTCTCTGTATCCACATTTTATAAAACAAAGCATTATAGTCTTAAACTGCAGGAAGTTAGAACAATTTAGTATCAGAAATATTGTCTGGAAATGGTACAACATATCCACCTCCCACTGCAGGGTTTATTGGTCAACTATCAGTGGGCACTGACATAGGTGTAGTAACCATGCTCTGGGTTCAAAGGGGCAAGTAATACCTTCTGGCAAGTTCCTTCCTGCCGTCCTGTGGTTCTAATGCTGAATTCTTTCACACTGTTTGGCTTGAATGTTCTGCAGATGTTAAGTATATACTGTTATTTGTATCATGCAGTTATGCAAGCCAACCTCATTGTTTAAAAAAGTGATGTTGGTTTCAGTGAATTACTAAATGCTGTTGCAGTTCTTTTTCTTAATATGTAACATTAATGCCTTTTGTGCAGTGTGGCTTGCACAGAGGCTGGAAGTCATCAGTCCATGCTGTGACTATTGTAACACAAAAATTGATTTAGCTCTAATAGGATGAGCATGAAAAAGCACTGGAAAACCATAGGCTGAAATCTTAGGTTAGGTTAAGTGTAACTGAATAAAAAAAAAGAAAAAAGATAAAATCTTTGAGGTGTTGAAAATTCAGCTTTTACTTGGAGAAAATAGGATGAAAATAGCTCAGATTTGTAAATGTAACGTTGCAAAATTCTCATTTACCCAAAAAGGGAAGCACTGAATCCTCCAACAGGGATTTGGTATTAGACATGACAATCTCCTTGTTCCTGGTCATGTCCCAGCAAAACTCAAAGTAAATTTTCAGCAAAATAAATGGACATGTTGTTACATAAAACACCATTCTAACTGGGAGGAAGTTATCCTTTGCTAATAATAATACATGTTAACAGCAAATAAAAACATTTCGGCCTGATCTTTGGAAATATTTATGACATGTTGTATGCACTGAGAAAGACTTGCAAGGAAACAAGAAATGACAGCTCCTCACTCTGCCAAAAGGAGGTATAGGAAAAAAGCAAGCTCCTAAAGCTAACGTATTCAGCATTAACTGTTTGTGCCTTCTCACAAATCCTGGAAAATGGGCCAGAATGATGAATCCAGTACTTGTGAAGAATACCTATCTTATACCCAACAGTGCAGGTCAGAAGGCATGAGCTGTGGTAATATAACACAACAGATGATATAATCATATGAAACAAAAAAAAACAACCACAACCCAACCAAAAAACTCAACAAATCAGAGTGTAAATCAACAAACTGTATATGTATAGGGATGATTTGCATGCTGAAATGTAGAGTTCAACATTTTGAAAGTGTTATAATTCAAAGGGTGATAACTGTAGAGAAATAGTGCTGAAGCAACTGATGTGTTTGATGAAACACCTGTATAATATTAATTTTCTTATATAATGTGATACTGCCTGAGATGCCATATGTGTTCATGTTGTTATCTTTCATATACCTTTTGCTTTAGGTTTCCCTTCCAATCCTGCTGTCATGACTGACATGACTCAGAAATTTATTCTCCTAACTACTTGCAGCCATTGCAGAATTTGCTCTCTTCTACAAGCAGAAGGCAAAATAATTATAAATAAATAAAGATAAGAGACATACAAGCTATCCTTTTGCCTAAGGCCATGGGTTGCTTTACATAGATTCTGATTCGCACTTAAAAAGTAAAAAAGTGGGCACTGCAGTTTGCAGTCTCTCTGTTATCATATTGCAGTAATGAGAGCCACTATTAGAACTCCAGGAGAAAAGGATGCACCTGGGATTTCCATTCCTTCTATTCCAAACTGGCTGTTGTCTTTTCCTGTTTCCTGAATGCCTAAGAGAGCATCGTCAAGTGGTTTCCCTGCTTTAATGTCATAAGGACAGGAAATGTCTCAGACCTAACTGGCATTAATTTAGCCTAAATTTCTTTTTCTGTCATAGCAAAGGGGCTTCTATTCACACAGCCTGTACAGGCAACTTAAACACGTATTGAAAAGGACTCTTCCACCTGATATCTAAAACAATTGTTAGATATCTAAGTTAGACTGACTCTTCCCACTTAATGTAAGTGAGGGGAAAAGGAATGTAATAAAAAAAATCTCATGTCCTTGAGCACTGAAGTGTGCAGACTTGAGCTATGCTTTCTTCTTTTCTGTTTTGTTTTCTTTTTGCCTATTCATCTCCATACAGATACAGATACAAGTTTACACAATCACTAAACTGTTTTGCTCAGCTCTATAGTGTTGGAGTAGAAGATTTAAAACAAAATATAAGAAGACAAGAATCATCTGGCCTTTCTAAGTTTAAGCAACCTCACACTTGACATTAACTCCAAAGTATATAATATTGTTACTCCACTGCTAAGCCTGGGGAAGTCAAAATAACATGTAGTGTCTTCCCGTTCTCCCAGGATTTGAGGGAGATTCCTACGTTCTCTGCGAGTATTCTGTCAAACCTTTAGATTGTGTGGCTAATATCAACTTGTGCTGGTTATTTTTCTTGGCTTCTACAGTAGTTTGAAAGTAAAATTCAACATAAATCTGGTGACTTCAGAGCAAGAAATCCGGTCAACAGTTAAATACTGAAATATTATGAGTGCTATGAGAGCACTCAGAACTTCAAAAGATAAGTACTTCATTATGCTGCAGATGAGGGAATACTTTGACCTTATTGCTTTGGCATTCTGTATATCTTTGGTTTAAATGAGTAAGAAATCTTAAAATAGGAGGTAAGGGTCAGGGATTAAACACTCGATGTAATTAAAGTCACAGTGTCAAGGTTTGTCGGCTAGGTTTAAATATTTCTGTAAGTTAAGGCTGAAATGATATAATACACACCTCTGTATTTGGGTGAATTCTGATGCTATGAATTCCAGAATGTGTGCCTTAGCCTTATAAATCAGTTACCTTAATATGAAAGGTTTTGATAAGCTATGAGCAAAACAAGCAGCTTTTGAGTTAATGGCCCTCATATACCAGTCAGTCATTGTAATGCTATGTTGTTTGAAGCTGCATCTCTGTTAATTTTCAGAGAAGATTGCAGTTAATGACATGTTAAGATAGCCTTCACTTCTGGCAGCGCTTGACTCAAACATTAGTTTAGAACTGTCAGAAAATACAAAGATAATGACATGCTAAACGACAGAGAAATACTCTGAGCAGTCAGTGAGTTGGAGTTAAAGCTCTGCATCCTTGATTCTTCTGCCTTTGTAGCTCTGTTCTCTGCTCCCTGGTAACCTGACCTCTTCAGACCCATGATAGCCCAAAATCTCACTTCTACTAATGTGAAGTTTGTGCCTCTACTACCGTTTTCATCTCATAGCCTCAAAAGCATTGGCCACAGTAGCAGTTTAGAGAACAGCAAAAGTGTATGTACATGCCCCTCCCCCCTTTTTTTTTGGTTTTTTTTTCTGTATAATATGTAAGTAAAAGAGAAGATAAATCTAAGACTACTGTAACCAGTGAAGTTTGAGTTTGGAAATGGCTCTTATTTTCCCCACTGACACCACAGACAGGCGAGAAAACAGATGTGTATTTCAAGCCCCCATCCATACTGTACACTAATAATGAAGCAGCCTGGGCACATGGGCATCCCTGCGCAGTCTTTAGCCTGGATGTGACAGATGACCCAGAGGTGCCCTGGAAAAGACCTGACAGAGTAGTGTGGACATAGCCAGAGAGTCCTCTCAGAAGACATATGCCCAGGTTGTGTTTCCTATCCCGACCACAGCATTGCACAGACTTTCTACTTGTCCTTGCACCCGTGTCTCCTCCATCCATATGTCCCTTCGGTATAGCCTCAGCTGGGTTACTTAATTCCCGAGTAGTTTTAAACCCATGTTTCTCTGTACACCCGCACACACAACACTGCTTTTTACCTCACAATAATGAAAACAGAAGAGGACTTGCTCAGGAGCTGCTTGGCTCACACCTGCTGATTCTAAACATCTCCCAGAAGCCCATGGGAGGGCTGTGACGACAGCTGCTCTCTCTGCATGGGGCCATGAGAGTGGGTGGGCTAGCTCAAGCATTGCACAGCCCTGTTCTGAAATGGACTCTGTACCAGCCTTTCTCAGTGCCAAGCTAAGTGAAAGTGGTTTAGTGCATGGGAAGGGTGAAAAGGAATTTTCACCTGTTGACTGCATAAACCTTCTCAGAATGCAGCACACACAGCTACTCGAGGTCAGCAGCATGCTCTGGCCAGGAGCGATTTGTTTCCCTAGGGGTGTGTGATTTTAAACCTGGATGCTGGATCTCCAGTCTTAACTTTCCACCCTATTTTAGGTGAATAAGTGGCCGCTTCCAAAAGTAATTATCTCAGTTAGCTAATTAGTCCTTCAGGCCCCTGTTTACAGCCCACACACATAGCAGCTCTTACACATGAACACAGTCCTGTTAAACAAACATGAGCTGTCCTACATGCAGAAAAGCTAAAAAAAATGTACAAAATACACAGTGTCTTCATCAGAGAGGGAGAAAAAAAATCCATGATCTATGGGTTTAGATACACAAGTAACCATTTCCTTTCAGCTTAATTTCATTCTAGTTTTCTTTTCCACTGAGTTTCTGTCTGATTCTGTGAATTTCATTTTTTTGCTCCACATCTTTCCCTCCCAGGGATCTAAACACAGATAATTTCAACTCACTCTTCATTATTCTCACATGCTTTACCTGTTTCCTATTGACTTCTCTTCTTAGCTATTTGTATTTTTTTCCATATGGAAACAGGGTCATTCTGCTGTCAAAAGACTTCTGTCAAACTCTTTTTCCTTTCTTAGCTAATTGAATTGTTATAAGTGTTTGCTTCAACTCTGCAAGAATCATAGAATCATGGAATCATAGAATGGCCTAGGCTGTAAGGGACCTTAGAGATCATCTAGTCCAACCTCCCTGTTACGGGCAGGGACGCCACCTCTCGACTAGACCAGGCAACACACATGGGGACCTAGCGGGAATCGAACCCGCGACAGGGTTGGTCATTGTTGTCGGCATCCCGCTCAAACCTCTGAGCTAACCGGCGCAAATATTCATCAGTAAGCGTACTACCTGGTAGATATTTGTTGCTTAATTTTCGTATCTGTTGTTCAGTTAAGAAGCCTGTAAAGGTTTTTTGCCGTTTTTCACAGGTGCCACCAGTGCTTCTGGACAAGCAGTTTTCGGAATTTACACCGGATATCACACCCATTATTCTGGCTGCTCACACCAACAATTATGAAATCATAAAGCTCCTTGTTCAGAAAGGGGTTTCCGTACCCAGGCCACATGAGGTCCGCTGCAACTGTGTTGAGTGCGTCTCAAGTTCAGACGTGGACAGCCTCCGCCACTCTCGATCCAGACTCAATATCTACAAGGCTCTGGCGAGCCCCTCATTAATTGCTCTGTCCAGTGAGGATCCTTTTCTTACTGCTTTCCAACTGAGCTGGGAGCTGCAGGAACTGAGTAAAGTCGAAAATGAGTTTAAGTCAGAGTATGAGGAACTGTCACGGCAATGCAAGCAATTTGCAAAAGATCTCCTGGATCAGACACGGAGTTCCAGGGAATTGGAAATTATTCTTAATTACAGAGATGATAATAGCTTGATAGAAGAACAAAGTGGTAATGATCTTGCAAGATTGAAACTGGCAATTAAGTACCGTCAAAAAGAGGTGAGTGCGCTGGAGAATATTTAAGCATATTTGGTAGTAGTAAAGTGATAGATAATAGCCTGAAATATATCCTTTTAACCGAGACAAATTGCTTTTTTTGTTCTACAGAATTTATTTTTTTTTTTAAATATTTTTAATTAGATGAATTTGAGTAGCTGTTATAGTTTGATAGTAATAGAATTTAAAATATTCTGTTATATCACAGATCCAAAGAAACAGTTTCTTCTTTTGCACCTGAATGGATGTAGTCTCCAGTAGTTGTGGTCTGAAGAGCCTAATAGGATGAGAAATATATATGGCATACTTTAAACTAGCTTTAATTGTCTGACAGGAAAAGGAGGCTATGTGTTTAAACACTTGTAAAATACTACAGGTATTCAAAAAGTAGCTATTGTAAATGGATACTGAAACACAAGATTAATAGCAATCTATGATTCCCCCAGATTTTGACATTCGGATTCTTTTTTGTAAAGAATCCAAAATGGAGACACTGAAGTATCAATTTCAGTTACAGTCAAAAATTCATGAGTTTGCTTCACTGATATAGGTATTTAATTAGAATCAGAGAAAGTCTGCATTTCTTTTAAAAACAATCAAGTTCTTATTTGCATGCATAAGCAAAAGACTTGGGAGAGAAAAATGAGTTAGGAAGACAGTTCCCTTGATTTTTCCAAAATTTCACTTGATCTCTGCTCATCAACATGTCAGAGTGTGTCCTGTCATCTCATTTAGAACATGTACATCCAAAGTCAGCTTTTCTTCCTTTTTTCTATTTCTGTTATACTAATTATTCCTTAAATAGATAATTAAATGAACAAATAATTCAATTACCTAGATGCTTTCACATTTCATATACCCTTACACTACAAATATCCAAGGTTACCTTGATGGCAAGCAGCAGAGACAACCTATAAATCTTACTTTAAAAAACAGCAGGAAAAAAGCGTGAGCTGGATTTTAACCAGCCCAGTAATATATTAGTTTGGATTTAACCTGTTTAAAAAATACTGGTTTAGGGTGATCTGCTTCCTCTATGTGTCTCAAACCAAGAGTCAGTTCTCTCCCAAAGACTTTTCTACTGTGACAGGAATAAATATGGATTTGGGTTTTTTTGATGCTATCAGTTCTAGTTATAGTCTTTCTTTCTTTTAACTTGCCTGCTATCCTGCAGCATAATAATAAAACAAAACACTCAACCCCCAACAAAAAAGCAAAACAGGTAACAATGTGTTATGTTGCCTTCTTGTCTCACCACCTCTCCATAACATCTCAACCTCTATTCCTCTATTCTTCTATTATCAAAGGACATTGCAATAGGATATTGGGGCTGAGGCCAGAGCTCCATGAGGAAGGAACCAGGTCTGATTGTTCAGAACATCCAGTCTAAGTCCAGAAGTTGAAGCTAAAAGTAACAAGATAATAAAGAATGAGGACAAGTAAAATAGGAAGATGTGTTCTTTTACATTGCTCTTACAATTAATTGCTCAGGAGTTAAAGATTATTTTTGTTCTTTCAAGTTGAAAATAATGCCAAAAATTAATAGCAGTAATTTCTCTTGGGATTAATAAGCAAGTGACTATGAATCATGTTACAACTAAACCTTGTAAAGAACTGGAGTAGGCTTTGGGTAATATAACTTTGTTTAATCTCCAAGACACAATATTGGGTAGGAACAGCAGATTGAGGGTACTTGGAAAAGTAGACAAGTACATGGTGAAGAGTTGTTGTTGTGGAGAGAAAGGAAAATAGTCAAACGTGAGAGAAGATAATTATCAAGCTGAAAGTTGTTGAAGAACTTCCAAAATGACATAGTATTTTATCAAATGTAGATCTAGAAATACCTTGTAATAAACAGAGGAAGGCTCTTAAAAATGAAGTGATTAAGCAGTGCTTGGTGTAGCATTCTGCAAGCCCCTAGTACCACCTCTGTACTATCATCTACGGAAGTGAAGGAAGCACATCCATTCTCAGTGCTGTCTGCGTTGTTCATGGTCATCACATTGCCCCAGAAGTGGACATTCTCCACAAAACCAAATAGTTTATGCCAGTTGGATTTGAGATTCTGCACAGTGAAAAGTGCTTATCTTCTGCATTTCTGCTCTTTTTATGCTTACCATGATACTATGATCTTCAGTCATATACTGTCAAAAGGCATCTCAGGGCTGTCAATTCTCAGTACATGGAGTCATGTCAGAGGGAACCTACTATGAATTGCCAAGGAAAAAGCTTCCTCAGTAAAACCATCTACCTTATTTTATTAATAACTAATTAAGTTGAAAGAGATTTATAGTTTCAGGCTTCCACTGCAAGATAATGTCTGCAAAGACTGTGGTTAATACCTGTTGTGAATTAGGTGGCAGAACCAGAGAGTATCTGTTGATATGTGTGTTTTGTGCACTTACCCGTATTTTTTAGCATAGCACATGGGATAGAACACCCAAGGTGCCATTTTTGGTTCCTGTTCATTTTGCACCATTGATGCTGGTTTTTTATAAGCAAAGACATGTTTCTGGCGCTCATGGTGCGTGTTTCTGTCACCTACAGTTGCCTGGGATACAACCAGCAGCAGACAAGAGAGATTCCCTGAAGTCGTGCAGCTGTTCTGTATTGGGCACAAAGATTTTGTTGTCTATCTACTATATAATATTAACTAAGGGAAAATTTGGTTCTATGAAGGTTGTCACAATTTCATTCTCCTGGACTCTAAACACACAATGAGTAATGAGAAATAATTTCCTGTTTTCCTGAACCAGATAAAAATGTTACCAGCTTCATTCAGAGATGTAGACAGGAAATCCCCAGTTGTATATATGATTCACAAGCAAAGGTTATTCTACCTGTAATAACAATCTGGGATTCTTAGTTCAGGTAAATTGCAAAACCCCGGTGCAAGAAACCAGTAGCAGAGTATAGAATCATAGGACCACAGAATCACAAAATCACACAGAATCATAGAATCATACTGAGTCACAAAATACTAGGGGTTGGAAGGGACCTCGAAAGATCATCTAGTCCAACCCCCCCTGCCAGAGCAGGATCACCTACATTAGGTAACACAGAAACATGTCCAGGCAAGTTTTGAATGTCTCCAGAGAAGGAGACTCCACAACCTTCCTGGGCAGCCTGTGCCAGTGCTCTGTCACTCCCCACAGGGAAAAAGCTTTTTCCTTATGTTTTTGTGGAACCTCCTATGTTCCAGCTTGTACCCATTGCCCCTTGTCCTGTCATTGGATATCACTAAGAAGAACCTGACTCTGTCCTCCTGACACTTACCTTTTACATATTTATAAATATTAATGAGGTCACCCCTCAGCCTCCTCTTCTCCAAACTAAAGAGACCCAGCTCCTTCAGCCTTTCCTTATAAGGGAGATGTTCCACTCCTTTCAGCATCTTTGTAGCTCTGTGCTGGACTCTCTCAAGCAGTTCCCTGTCTCTCTTGAGCTGAGGGGCCCAGAACTGGACATAATATTCCACATGTGGCCTCAACAGGGCAGAATAGAGGGGCAGGAGGATCTCTCTTGACCTACTAGCTACTCCCCTTCTAATACACCCCAGGATGCCATTGGCCTTCTTGGCCATGAGGGCACATCGCTGGCTCGTGGTCCACCATGACCCCCAGGTCGCTTTCCCCTATACTGCTCTCCAACAAGTCAGTTCCCAACCCCTACTGGTACATGGGTTTATTCTTTCTCAAGTGCAAAACTCTACACTTACCCTTGTTGAACTTCATAAGATTTCTCCCTGCCCAACTCTCCAGCCTGTCTAGGTCTCTCTGAATGGCAGCACAGCCTTTTTGAGTGTCCTGAATGGCAGCGCAGCCTGTTGGTGTGTCAGCCACTCCTCCCAGTTTCGTGTTGTCTGCAAACTTGCTGACAATGCTCTCTAATCCCCCATCCAGGTCATTGATGAACATATTGAACAGCACTGGCCCCAGCACTGACCCCTGAGGGACCCCAGTAGACACAGGCCTCCAGCTAGACTCTGCCCCATTGACTTCAGCTCTCTGACTTCTTCCCTTCAACCAGTTCACAACCCACCTCACTACTTGGTCATCCAGACCACACTTCCTCAGTTTACCTATGAGGATGTTATGGGAGATGGTGTCAATTGCTTTGTTGATATCCAGATGAACCACATCTACTGCATCCATCCACCATCCATCCACCTGGTTATATCTTCATAAAAGCCTATCAGGTTGGCCAGGTTGGTCAAACATTACTTCCCCTTGGCAAAGCCATGCTGACTGCTCCTAATGACCCGCTTATCCTTGATATGCCTAGAGACATCACCAAGAATAAGTTGTTCCATCAATCATAAGGTTGGAAAAGAACGGACTGCAAAGTGCGTTTTCTGTCTCATATATAATGAGAATTTTTAATAAAGAAACTGGAGCAACTCCTCAGTGTCTCTCACTCTTTGGATACCTTTGGTTTAGTTTTTTTTTCTGTTTAGGTATTATACATGTATCTGCATCTACATGAAAAAGTGCTTACTAAAATGCTTACTAATTTTCCCACATATATAGAATAAAGTGAAGGGTGGGTTAATAGACTAAATCAATATCCTCTGGCTTCACAGTAAGGTAATTGTTGCAATTTAAACACTTATACTAGTAATTTATATCTCTGGCTCATCTTGTCTTATGCTGGACTGGCCCGTGTTGTTTAAGCAATAACTGTATATGCTTAAACATAGTTGAGGTCTCGATTATTGGCAGTACTGTCTCATTTTACTTTGCTATTAGATGTTCTAATATCAACACAGAGGAAATATGAATTATTAAGTATACAGCTATTAAACTTTTCTCTTTCAATTTTCAAATGAATAAAGACTTGGTGGCTTTGTTTTATTTTCTCTTTTTCCTTTCCATTTTTAGTTTATTCTGATCATCTTTCCCTTTCTCTGTAAGTAAAAGATCACTGGAAAATTTAGGGTGCTTGAGACTTGGGATATATAGTTGGTTTGATACTCTGGAATCATTTTAATAAGCTTTTTTCTG